CGTTGCCGCGGCCTTTTCCTGCCTTCCTGCCAGTGGCTGGGTGGTGAGCAGCCTTCTCAGGGAGCATAAAGGTGGATGCTTTTCTGTCACTGTTTCATGCACAGTTTGTTGGTTTTGTTTTCAGAGCTTCTCACAAGCATGATGGAGGGCGTGAAATGCCACTTGGACAGCAGCCTGCCACAAATACGGCGTCTGGGCATGATTGTGGCGGAGAGCATTAGTGCAAAAATAAACACTGATGGGCCTGTCCTGAAGTTTCAGGTGAAGGTTATAATGGAATTTATGTCTGGTGTGTAGGGTGTAGAGGAGATAAAAGCTTTAAGCCAGGTGATCCAGGGCATTCTGGCAAGTTCTAACACTTATCCTTTAGAAATAAGGAAAGGCGGCAGCAATCTCAAAAAGAGAGGAGATCTGCTTACAAAAAAGCAACTCTATAGCAAATAGCCTCTGAGTTTCAGATTTTCAAGACTGACATGGGGATACATGCTCTGCTATTTCCAGGAGAGTTTATAAGACTTATGCGATTAAATTACATTAATTCTTTAAAACCTTGCGTCATCCCTCATGTCACATTGCTATTTATTAAGTGTTTTAAAGATTGCAATAATATTCAAGCAAGGTCTGATCAGGTGCTACTGTTAGATAGGGGCAAAGATTGTATGTGGCACAGACTGCTTTACAGCATAAATACATTACTGCTGGCAGCAGAGTGATGGAAACAAGTGGGATTTGTGTGGGTTCATCTGCCTGTGATTCAGTCTTCACTGGCACGCAGTAGAAGGGTGAAGTGTTGAATGCTGGGCATATTTGCAATCAAACAGAGTTCAGTAACAGTTACTCTCACTGTCTAGTATGAAGAAGATGATGAAGTAAGAGAATTGAAGTCCCTCCTGGTGCAGTCTCCACCGTTCTGTGCTGTCCCCAGCCTTCCAGATAAGTAAGAGATTGCTACTATTCATCTCCATGACATCTGTTTGCCTTCTCCGTACCTCTTTGAGTCACACACTAAAACTGTATACAGTATTCAAGGTGTCATATATATATTCTTAAGCGTTATAATGCACCTTGTTCTTACAGTGCAGTGTAGTTACGTTAAATTCATAACCAGAATGGTAATATGTATTAAAATTGCTTGTTGGATAGCTGAACATGGTGAAACCGTGCTCCAGGGGTCCTTTATACCCCTGGGTAGAATCAGATGGGCCTTTCTGTTCTTACTTACTGTATTCACTCTACTAGCCATGATTAAATGTGTTTATTCTGCATTTGTTGTTTCATTCACAGCTTTAAATATGGGGCAGGCCAGCGTGATCCAGTTATCACAGATGAGTCTTTCCTTAGTAGTCCTAGGCCCAGGTTACTGCATGGGAGCACAGCAAATTAGCTAACTATTTTTGTTATTTATTGTTCTTTTGATAAGATATTCTGCTCTTCTTCTCCCATCACCCAATTCTCTTTCCCAGGACTTTGTTCCTTGTGTCAGTCAAGCTAGGTGGGAGACTGCAGCAGAAGTAATTATTCACCATTCTGTTCAGGCAGCAAGGGTTGATGGCGTGGGTAGTTTCTTGCTCGTAAGAACTGTTGCTGTATTGGTTTTAATACTTCTTGTTGATAAAGCAGACGCTGCATTACCACTGGTATTGGAAAGTAATGATAAATCACACACGGCAGCTCCTGCAATGCCAGATGAGGAGGTGGATACTGAGCTTGACAGGTACAGGGCAAGAAACTGCTAGGAAATGGAAAATAAATTGCAAGTCTTAAGAGCAGACATGGGGAGAAGGGAGCTATTGGTAGGTGCACCTCTTGGCAAATCTTGTGCTGACCTCCTTGTGGCGTGCAGCAGAGCAGGACTTTGTGTAGGAAATTACACACAAGTGCGCTAGTCAATATTTTTTAGCAAAGCCCACGCCGTGTACAACCATTCTATTGATTTGACATATATCTAATACATTTTCTGGAATTATGGACATATTTAACCATTCTCATAGTGGTCCTGCCTTATTCTGTCACGTTACCAATATATGAAGAAATCTCAAGGATCAGGTTCTGGTCTTTCGGTCACCTGCCTCATTCCTGCACTTGACCAGGAGATCCAGTTCCAGATACGGTCACAGAACTACTCTTTCACTGAGCTTTGGTGTAACTGATAGGACTGCCTAAGGAACCCTTTCAGACTAGGCTTCAACAGTGCTGTGGGATGATGCAAGAGATGGCAGTGTTATGACAATATATGTGCTGGTTCTTTCCCTTTTCTGTGGATAGGTGGAGAAAGGAAGAACATCTGTACCCAATAGACTAACTCCTGCTTTCATTTCTCACACAGTGATGATGACCTCATCCCTTACGACATGTCAGAGGATAAAGAAGTAAAGATTAAGGCTCCTGTGTATATCCGAGACTGTATTGAAGGTAGCAGATTTTGGGCTGAGTATTTATCTGCTTCTTACTGCTTTTAGGAGAGTGATCCCTGTGTAGGCTTATTTTTTTCTGAGCTGTAGGATTTCAGTAATCTGGGCTCAAGTAATTGTGAGTAATTCCACTTTAGTTCCAAATGCTGGTTGTGCAGTGGGTCAGTGATCCCTGCCTGTAACAAGACACACTAATGGCAGAAGAAAGCCGGGGGTATATACCCAAGCACAGCCATTCCATTAATAGCTTTTGTTTGTCTTTTACCTTCAGTCCTGACAGGATCGGAAGATATGGACAAATGGGAAGCTACAATCAAGGCTCTTGAGAGCTTGGTTCGAAAGAATCCAGAGGCAACAAGAGAGGTGAAGTAGTACAAGCTGAATTTTCCCAGTGGGCTGCAATACAGGATTATCCCTTTACCCTTGGGAGGAGACTAAACATGCCAACATAGCAGCAGGCCAGGCTAATGTATACCTGGATTTAAAGCTTTCAAATTGGGAAGGGAAATAGAAGGAGATAGTTGCTTTGGAGGTGAGTCTACAGAGCACAAAGGGACAAAGCAGCAGGCAGAGGTTCAGGCAGCAGTGTGGCATTTAACAGCTCCAGTGCTGCAAATGAAATGCATTGCAGGTAAAGCTTGCCAGCAATGTGAGGAAGGAGAGGGAGCTTCATGCTTTGTGCTGGGCAGAAAAAAACATAAGAAATGCAGCACAGAGCAGCCATGAATTCCTCAGATTTTAATTTTGGATTGAATTGATTTTTGAATGCAAATTGAATTTGTTACTTCCCAACAAAAAGGGAGGTAAAATCAAATGGACTTCCACTATTGGCTTCTATGAGCATAGTGTCTTCTGGAGGGAGCAGTTGGATTGTATTGGTGAAGATAAAAAGCTCAGGTGAGAGGGACCTGGGACAAGGTCACCAGTGTAATGAGTGCTCACCACCACTTGTGAACACTTGAAGGTGGCAGAGAAACCGCCTCTGCCAGCTGAGAAGAGGAACTGGTGTAGTCTGGTAAAGAGCATGCAGTCAGCTGCTGCTTATCAGACGTGATACTGAGCTGAATGGGCTTCAGATGTACCCTTTAACCCATCAGTTACAGTGACAAGTCCTCCTATATCATGATGCCATCACTTGCCTATAAAGCCAAAATGAATGTGGACAAAGAAGGTGGCATAAGATTTTGTTCAGTGTTTTGAGAAATCTTGATGGCATTTAGCTTAGCATGTTTTCTCTCCCTCCTAAGTAATGGACATGTTGACTATATTCCATACCCTCACTGTCTTTGCTTGAACATTAGGAATGGTGTGTAAATCCTGTGGGAAAACCAAACACCTGCAGTGTTTTGATTCTTTTGTGCATGTTTTTAACAGGTTAGTGTGGAGCTGGCAAAGATATTATTGCATCTGGAGGAGAAGACCTGTATTGAAGGCTTTGTGGAGCTCCGACAGAGAGCTCAAGTAGCTGTTTTAACCACAGATCCGATACCTGTGAGTCCCTCTTACTGCTTTCCTTTTTCCAGTTGAGGCACAGGCAAAAATTTAAGCAGCTGAAGTCTCTTGCTAGCTTGCTAGAAGCAGCTACCAGGGTGTGGTAGAATCCTAGTCCATGTCTAGCAGCATTTATGCAGTGATGGTCTATGCACTGAAGAATCTGCAATGGATGACTGAAACAACAGGAAGGAGAAAACTCTGTCAGAGCTATAACAGATGTGAGGAACTGTTTGGAGGCTGTTCGTATATCTGACAAAGCAAATTAAATAAGGACCTATTGCACTGAAGGAGAGATTATTTCGCATAAAGGGAAGCTAAGGTGCAAAGGGCTTCTCTAAAAAAGGCTTGTCTAATCTAGCTCTGTCAGTTTAAAACCTGTACCCCTTGTTCTGTCAGTACAGGCTCTGATAAGTCTGTCTCCACCTTTCATATAAGCCCCTTTAAGTGTTAAAAGCTGCAGAAAGGTCTCCTTCAAAGTGCCAAAGCTGCTGTGGCAGTTGTTAGGTACCTCTGTCTAGAAGGAGAGAAGAATGGCAAAGTCCCATTTGTCATTTACTTCCTTTGGGAGAATCTAGAAGTGGAAGTGTCTGAATTTCCTGTTTGCACAGTATGTCTCTCCCCTTCTCTTGGACGCTTGCTGTTGACTAACAGGAAGCAGGACTCCTCCTGTAGTGGAGTGCATTTAGAATTAGTGGGATGGCTGTTTCCAGCCTGGGGTTTTGTTCATTGTGCCTTGATTTTTCTGTACAGGTAGCAAAGTACTTGACCTCCCAGTTCTACTCTCTGAACTACAGTCTTCGTCAGCGCATGGACATTCTTGATGTAAGTGCTCTTCTTTTCATTTCCCGCTTCCCTTATGTCTTTGTACCAGTGCTGTTTCCCTGAGGGGTAATGGGGTTACCTTTTGTTCCTTGGAGGAGGAAGCAGAGGCATGGAAATCTCTTACTTGTGCATGGCATTCCCCTCTCATTTGTAACCCTGCTACAGTCCAGTTATACAGTGATCCTTCCCCACAGAATGCAAAACACAGGATGGTCATTTGCCCGGGAGAAGCCACTGTTTCCTAACATGTCCTTGGTCTGTTGCATCTTCACTCTCTGAAAGACAGCAATCTGCCTGGACTCCTATGTCATTTCACTTGCAGTGTCTGAAGAAGGAGCCCCTGTTCTGTTTCAGGGCTAAGGGACTGAGTGCTTGGTCAGTACCTCGAAGCCAGCTGGCTGGCTGGGGTCACTCACCTTGCTGTTCTGCATTCAAAGCCTGCTGTGCCTTTCTGCCTTGCTGTTCCTAGCAGTTTGGGTGCAGGTAACTGTTTTTATTGTTCTCTAGCACAGAGATTACCCTTATTTAACAGAATGTCCATCTTTTTCATCTAGGTATTGGTTTTGGCAGCTCAGGAACTGTCCTATCCCAAATCTCATGGGAAGACCAAGCATTCTGGTGGCCCAAAACCTTGTATCCAGCTCCTTCCTGGAAGTGACAGCTCTAAGGACTGGAGAAGAATTGTTGATGAGAGGATCAAAAGCAAGACTCGGAGATTTGCTACGGTGAGGCCAGGGCACAAGCAAACCCATGTGAAATCCAGCAAAAATAGGGATGCTGGGAGTTGCTGTAGTTTTATATCTGGAAAGAGCACAATACCTGTGAAATTGGGCACAGCCCAAAGGAAAGGATGTGAAACTTCAAATATAAAGGTATCTTGGTACCTGGCTGAATCAGTGCAAAGTACCAACTCTTGTAGTCTTCTCCCAGCAGGAAGAGGAAAATAAACCTTGAACTGCTTGCCTTGCACTGAGGGATAGTTGCTGCTGTTCCATGCTTGTTCTGAGGTTGTCTGGCCGCTGCAGGGAGCTGTGGCTGCACCTCACAGATCCCAGAGCCTCCTTCATCAGACTAGCTCCCTCTGGACTGGACTATCTTAGCCTTCCTATTTTCAGGGAGATAAATGGATGCTGGTTTCCTAGTTCCCAGAACTCCCCTGTGGTTCTTCCCGGAAAACTTGCTTGCCAAAAGTCGTTTATCACTTGCATGTTCTTGTTTCTTATCTTTAACCCAGCAGTACTGAGTTACATTGTACTGAAATACTTACATGCGTGAGAGGATCTGAAGTGGGAAGTGATCCATCCAATCTGGAAACTAGTAGTTGTAGGCGTACAAGCAGGCAGTGGCTGACAGCAGGAGAACTGCAAGGAACCTGTAGTCTCAACAGTGATGTGAAGTGTCGGTTGCTGCATCTTGTGTCTAGACTTCATTTTTCTCTTGGACAGGGTCAGTCTCAAGTGGAACTGGCTTCCAGCCCAAATGAATTCAATTCTGTTGCCGGGCACTTCTTTTTTCCGTTGATTCAGCACTTTGACAGGTGAGTGTGAGCATGTTGGGACATGGGTATGGCAGCTGCGAACCTTTCTACTTGCTCTCCTTGCCTCAGAGCAGCAGCCTAAAGCCCAGAAGCTGTGTGGGAGTCCAGTGACACTACACTGATGCCTGGTTCATCCATAAAGCTTAGAGAGGAGGGGTTTGTGGTCTCTTGGACTTAGCCTATGAAGTCTGCTTGGGCAAGAGTATGTGAGACCCTGCAGAAGAGAAAGTCCATTATGAATAACCTGTCAGCAGGTACAGAGGCGGATGATTTTGGCAGTACTAAACCAGTTGTCTTGGCTGACCCTCCTCCTTGGGGAGACTGCAGTCTTAGCCAAAGTTAACTCTCTCTCAGGTTTGGGCCTGACACCTGGACTGGTCCTTGAGACCATGTTATAGGACATGGTTCATTGTTAATCACTTAGGTTGTTGCTTACCTAAAGATTGCTGAATAATTGATTCCATGAGAATCGACGTTCTTGTCGTACCACTCTTAATGGTTTGTCTCCAGTATGGCAGTAGTGCTTTCAGTAGTAAAGTCTGTTAGTAGAATAAATGGTATCTTCTGTAAGAGTAGAGGGTATTACTGGTCTGGGAGCAAAGATGAGAGCAAACATCTGTGGCCTGTGTTAAACTAGGAATGACTTTAATGACTGTTTCATAAGGATTCAGACTTGTGGGGGATAGTTTGCCGTGCATAACCACTGTGACTGCTCCAAAGATGCACTGAACAGCCTTCTCCCTGCTACAGGACTGTGTGTCTTGCACTTGCAGGCCTCTGACAACATTTGATCTCCTGGGGGAGGATCACTTTGTCCTTGGAAGATTGGTCCACACTTTAGCAGTCTTGATGTACTTGGCTGTCAACACCATGGTAAGAAAGGCTGCATGAGCTTGCAGAGAGCAGGAGAGGCTTCCAGCCTGGGAACTCAGGGCCTGCCACGCTGAGACTGGCAGCAAGTTTGAGTCACATGTGCTGGGAGTTGAGAAAAGGGCTGGGAAAAAGATGGTCAGAGAAGAGGTGAGGGATTCACAACAGCCCTGCATGATCCTGTGCTGCTCCTGGTAGAAAAACTGTCAACTTGGGCGGGAGGTTGGACTCATCATTTTACTGCCTAAGTTTCCTCATCTGTAAAATAAAGCTAATTGTAACCCTGATGTTCACAGCAGTGCATCTCAAGGTGCAGTTCTGTAGGGCGGTGTGAATATGTTCAGTGTTTCTGTCATCATCCTGTTTTGCAGGCAGTTGCTGCAATGGGAAAGGCACTGCTGGAGTTTGTTTGGGCTCTGCGCTTCCACACTGACTCGTGAGTTCTGCTTGTGTGCTTTAATTTTTAGAGATGAGCTGCCAGCCAGTCTCCAGCCATGGTTTCTCTTTGTCCAAGGCTAGCACCGGACTGAGAATGTCAGTGACTTAATACATTAACTGTATGATCTCCAGCCTGAATATGCAAGAATATGAAATGAAGGCATAGCTTTAATGTCAGGCCAACATATGAACCTGGCTACTGTCTCCTAGTGTGGAGGTACAGTCATTAAGTACGGAAAGCACAACAAATTTCTTGATCAACTCTCCATGTGATAGTTTCATCTGTTTATTCAGGGAGCTCAGGGAAGTTTTGATTCAATTCCAGCATTCAACGCTGGAAAGAATTTAAGACACACAGCCAAAATGCTGCAAACATCCAGTTTCTGGTTTGGTCTCAGACTTGCCCAGGACTCAACTACATTAGACTCCCTGCCCCCACCCCATGACAGGGGCTCTGTGTGTGAGCACTGTGCCAGCTGGTGCATGATTCCACTCCTGATCGGTAGGAATATGGCAAAACACATCCTAGTCACAAACATTTGAAACTGGAGAACCCCTGAGGTGAGGAAATCAAGGTAGAGCACAAATCTGCAGGCTCCAAACGGTCTTTCTCCAACAGGTATGTGCGCCAGGGTCTTCTGTCCTGTATCTCCTCCTTGCTCATCAGTGTCCCTGCAGAGCGTCTTCTGGAGGACATGACGGAAGAGCTTTTGGAGACTCAGTCTTGGCTGGGAGGTAAGAGGCGGTGGTGTACACCAGTCTTCGTGCAGCATCTCTAATTGTGATGGCAGCAGGCATGTCCTAGTGTCGTACACCAGAGGTTTGCACAGTAAGTGTATTCATTGCTTGCTTGCAAGTTTAGGGTTCAGTTGTCTCACATTGTATTACCAAGGTATCTAAAGCATAAACTGAGAGCTATGCATTTCAAAGTGTGACTGTCCTCACACGCCAGCCATAGAAGTCCCTAGATGTATTATGTGCCCCCTTTCTCTGCCTAAGCATCCAGCCACCCACCTTACGAAGCTGCAGAAAGTACTGTTATGTTGCATATTACACCAGTAATAACATACACAGCTTGTACATCCCGTTTACACCACGTGCAGCACATGGGTTTCATTATTGCTGAAGATAGGAGGAAGAGGAGCACGGCCACATCTACTAACTTCCTCCTGCTGATGGAAAGAACAGCCTATCAAAGACAGCAGATGACTCTGTGCTGCACCCAGCGCACCCTCCATCCACACAGGCTGTTTACGGGTTCTGGTAGGATGGAACCGCACAAATTGGGGGTCAGGTATCAGAGTGTGCTGGAAGTACAAGAGGAAATAATGCTGTGTGCTTTGTAGCTCTGAAGCCTCCCATGTATTCTGAGGGGACCTTGTGTGACTCCCTGGGTTGGTTTCCTTCACTGTTCTTGCTCTTGGTGAGTTGGCTTCCCACAGGGAGCAGGCAGGAAGCGATGCTGACACAGCCAGGCTAGGATGCTTGCAGGCTGCAGAGCTCTGTGCCCTTGGAAAGGAAGAGTTGTGCCTTGTGGGGCTGAAAACTTTACTTTTCCCACGACATGGTGTGCTCTGAGGCATCTGCTTGTCTCTGCAGTTAACACTGCTGTTACCAAGTACAGCTTTCCCAGGAATGTGTTAAATGTATTTTCAGCATGAGGGTCTACGTAATTTGTTATTAATGAGCTAATTTTGGAAGGAGGAGGATGTCAGAGCTAGCAGCTTCTTTTTGTGCCTGTAGGTAGTGTAATAGCCATTTCTCTACATGTAGTGCTTTGGCATGAAAATTGCATGGTACATCCTGGTGGGTCACGTTAAGATCAATGTTGTGTGTATAGTAGAGAAGGGGAAATTATTACAGGAGCCATTCAGAAACCTTAAAGAATACTACCCAGCTCCACACCTGGTCAGGTACGATTCCAGTGCAGTTTAAAAGGACTTCCAAAGCTGCTTCCTGAAACAGCAGCTTCTTGTGCTATCCCTTTGCTCATTGTTGTAGGACTGCTGGTAAACAGCTATCACAGGGAGGCACCAGGCTCCTCCTCGCTGCTGCAGCTGGTGAAGTTGGTCCCTAGAGACCTGCTTTGTGACTGGATCATGGCTTTGAGCTTGTGGGCTTGCTGCTGCTTCATGACTCTTCCAGAAAAGATGTGCAAGACATGTCATGTATTCGACCTACTGTCACAGCTTGGAAAAATGACAAGGGGTCAAGCATGCAAGCCTGCTGCCATACCTAAGGGCCAGAAGTCACAGTTCTGGGTGTCAGCTTGAAGCATCTGCATTTCTTATGCTGTGGCAAAAGCACAGTGAGGAGTAGTCGGCTAGAAAATGTTATCCCATGAGCATTTAGTAGCAATCTACGAATCTGCTGCAGTTTGTTTCTCTGTCATGTCTGTGCAGACTGCTGTAGTTCATCATGTGAATGTGACTGACCCTGCCCTTCAGCCTTTGGGCTGGAACAGAACTGTTCCCTATTAGAAACCATTTCCAGTGTGGTGGAAGGAACTACTTCAGTCACTGTCACAGTACTAGCCATCAGTGAATGTTCTGGGCCATTTCAGTTGGAGAGAGAGGCTGGGATCCACCTTGTCCTGTCTGTCATTAGTGTCATGCTGGACCTAATGTAGCCTGATCTTTCCCGGGGGAGGGAGGGAATACCTAAACATTTCTAGGAAACAGTTCCTTTAATTCCTCAGCAGCTGCCTTTGAGGGAGTTCCCCACCCCTTGCAAGTGCTGTAGAGTTGTGTCATAGGTAAGTTTTATGTGAGGACCTGAATGATACTTTGGTGCCCTGTGCCTCCCTTTCAGTGGCAGCAGTTCAAGGTCCATGCTCATGGCAATTGGAAACAGTGCCAACATCAGTCTCTTAGCTTCTGAGCTTGTGGTCATCTTGTAACCTCCCCCTTGTTGCCTTTTGTAGAGAGAGCATAGAAACACCATCATGAAGCTCTCCCTGCGGTATAAATAGCCCCACTCCCTCTGAATGAGTCATGTGTTTGGGCTGATGAGCCGGGCTCTGAGCACACTGCTTGTGCGTACAGGATATCCTCACACAGGCTCTTTGCTCTTCCAGGCTCCCCCTGCTCAGACATCCTGCGTGCATCCTGGTTTTTACTTTGCAGGCCTATTAAGGGCCCCTGAAATAACAGCTGCTGGAAGCAGCTTCATACCCTCCCTTACACGCTGCATAAAATGGGAAAAAACTACTGGTTTATCAGAAGACTTAATTGCTCAGAGCACAGAATGTGTTTGAACTTGGGTCCTGCCTCTTTCTTTCCCCCATTTGAAAGGCAGCACAAGCACAAGTTTCAGGAGGGAGCACTGAACATGTGTTTAGATCACAGGAACTGGCAGAATGGAGACTTCAGGCTTTTGAATAAGTGGATTTCTAATTGCAAACTGCATTCATGCTAGAAGATCAGCTATGGACAGGTGATGTATAGCTCAAGGGCACAAGTACAAATCTGGCAGGGAGGTTATACCATGGAATGCAAGGTCAGGCAGTTTCGATGGTGTTTCAACCCAACTGTTTATTTCTGCTACAGGAATGAACTGAGCATTGTCACATGTTTAGTATGAGCTAAAATCATACTGCTGAACATGATCAAGTTTGAGCATCTTTGGTCTAACGTAATTCCTGCAAGTGCCGATGTCCAGCCCAGATGTCACTGCATATGCTGGTGCATATGGTGTTCTGGGGTGGTCAGTGAAAGAGCAGTAGTGTCAGGTGAAGGACAGTTTTTCCCAACTAATGGTGGCTGCTTCTTTTACAGATGTGGTGGAGAAAGATCCTGATGGGGACTGCAGGAGACTGGCCTTGCAGAACTTGCTATTCATGGAGAACCTGAAAAAGAAACTCCAAATTGCCCCTTCCTAACTGGAGGGTAGAAGAAATTACCTTTCTCTTGTGCTTCTGCCAGCTGGATGTGTGTAGGCACTGCTGGGGCCTCCAGCAGTCACCTGGCTGGAGGAGAGGAAGAAGGGGGAAGGGTGCAGAGCTGTGAGCCAGCGAACCTGACTTGACATCTGGACTTTGTAGTGGAGGCCAACTTAGTGAGCTACTGCTATCCGGTACGGCGTGTACAGATGCAGGAAGGTAGGCGAGCGCTGCCATCGTCCGCCCACCCCCACCCCAGTTATTTATAACCTTGGCAGGTTTGAGTGCTCTGCTAAAAATACAGGGAATATCTCATAGCAGGCTTCTTGTCAGAAAAACAGGGGGGCTGGCGAGGGCCATGTACCTCCAGGGCTAAGGCTCCCATGTCTTCCAGCAGTCAGCATTTGGTGGATTAGTTCCTGGTCTGCTGTTGGAGGGGTGTCGGGAATGACACTGCTGGTGAGATGTTAAGAACTGAACAGCTGAAGTTCTGAAAATGTGCCAAACCTTAAAGGCTTGAGGTAAATCTGTGCAATGGTTAGGGGAGAACAAAGCAGGAATTCTTTTTTATCATCTTAGTACAGAAATAAGTTTCTGTTAAAGGATAACTTAACACTCAGATTTTGACCTTAAAATCTGCCCCTACCCTTCTTCCCTGAAAGCATACAGTTCAGAAACTTCACATTCACCCCAAGTTTTGAAGCAAGTCACAAAATAGGAAAAAGAAAAACCCTTCTCAGCAGAAGGGCTGGTTGGTATGAAATGTATGAGAGAGACCTTCATGGGCCGTGTGACAGGCTTAAAGGTGAGCAAAGCCTTGGTTGCTTACGCTGGGCTTCACTTCTCATGGTCCTACCATGCCTGGGAAGAAATTTGCAGCCTAAAGCCTGACTACTACAGAGCAGCTTGACAGGACTGATGTTTGGAAAAGAAACTTCAAAGTGACGCAGCTTGAGCCAGGGGATTACAGCAGATGTGACCTCGAGGGGTCCCTTCCACCCCAACCATTCCATGATTCTGAAGTTCAGTCAGATTTCTGTAAATGGCTCCAGCCTGTGTGACCCTGTAATGTATTTAAACACAAAACTTGGCTTTTTGCTGGAGTTTGACATTTAGTCAAGCTCCTACCCAAGCAGGACAGGGATTGTTTTCAGAAGTTGTGACTTCCAGGGAATGACCAATCGTTTTGCACCTCAGCAGATCAAAGTTGGACTTGAAAACTTTGTCACCTCAGGAATTTCCACCTCAGTTACTCAGCTCTTTTCTGTACTTGGTAAAAGGCCTGAAGTTACAATATGCAGTCCTTGTTGGGTTTATTTCCCCTTCAAATTTATTAAAATACTAAAACCAGCTTCATAACAGGATATGCACATAGTTTGTATGTAGTGTTTGAGATAAGAGAGTAACTTCAGTACTGTTGCTTGTACAATACTGTTGCTTGTTGAATAGGAAAAATAAATTTCTTGGTAATAACCAAAAAGCCTCCTCACAGCCATCATGACACACGGTCCTAACAAGGACAGAGTAAGTGACCTGGTATATTATAGTCTACTTTTCCTTTGGTAAGTGTAAGTTGTCAAGGTTCCTCTACTTCATCAGCCACTTCTTCCATCTCCTTGTTCTCCATGCTGCTGTGGAGAACTGGCTGTGGAACCAGGGTTCGGCTTACGGGAATGCCTGTTCCTCGGTGGACTGCCTCAAGGGTCTGCTGCGTCACGTAGTAGCTCAGGTTGGTGGGTGGAATTCTTTTCTGCATCTCTGCCAGGTACTGGTAAGCCTAAAGCAACACACAGAGCTTGTTACACACAGGGCTGGGTGAGTCGCAGCAGCCCCCCATGGCACATGGTTGAGGCCTTCACAGGAGCTCAGCATCAAGGGCTGCCAGCACAAGGCCAGGAGCTGCATCCTTGGCTGACACAGCAACCTTTCCTAGTGCTTTGTGTCAATTCTGTCCAGTTTAATAAAGAAGGGGTCTCCAAGTCTGTTTTTACACTCTCCTGATAGCTGAAGCACTGTCAAAACAACATGGTAAATATAAGGTTAATGAGCACACTTCTGCTTGGCATCCCTGTGTTTCATAATAGCAGCATTAAAGCCATTCCTGTCACACTGCCAGGGTAGGGTGAGCTGCTTGTCACCCAGCACCATGCTAAGATGGATGTAGTTCCTGAGGTCTGTTACACCTTGCTGAGCAGTTTGGTTCCTCTAAAGGAGCCTCTACTATCAAATGTCTCCCTGTAGGAGAACCAAGCAATACCAAGCTGCAGTGGTGTGTGTAAAGTACAGGCTTTGTAGATTGGAAGAATTAACTTACCATATGGAATTCCTCCACTTGTGCATAATGTTCAACCAGAAATCCCAAAATGTCACCATGACGGATGATGGTGTCATAATCTTGTTCAGCCAGGAGAAGTTCACACTGTCTGACTGCTTCTTTGGGATCCTCAGAGTAAACTCTAGTAGAGAGCAAAAGGTAACTGGTAACAATGGGAGGGGAGAGCATTCAGCTTGTATGGGAAGACCAGGGAAGGTTTATTTTTACTGTCATGTTTCATAATCACGTTTCTCGCTACACTTTCTTTGGTCAATACACTTACTAGTATTTGAGGTTACCTTTTCATCTTTGATGTCAATGCCACTTATAAAAAACAAAGTTTCCTTGCTAGAAAAATGTAACAGCAGCTTTTAGAGGCGAGTCTGCAAATTGTCTGTTAAACTGCAGGTATTTGTACAACTTTCCTTCTTGTCTGGTATTTCTGTCACTAGTTCACATGCTCTGACTCCTGCAGCTCACCTCCTAGCATGGATGAACCGCTTAATCAGGGTCAGCTTGCTTTGCAGATGTGCTAGTTTGCTTTCCTGTCCCAGAGAGCTTCTAGTCTTTGCTTCTGAAAGGCACTTACAGGCTTCTGTCAGGGCTCCTTGTGCTTTCTCATAGTTCTGATACTCATCAATTTCTACCTGCAGAGAAGAAATGAGATGTCTTGCTCCAGAGATAACAAACCAGACACCTTTAGCAAGTCACAGAAGGGGTTGTACCTCAGCACACGCATCATAGAAACCTGCCAGGAGGTCCATGGCCCGCCCTTTGGTATAGAAGCTGATTATGTTTTTCATAATCTCTGGGTCCTTACGCCAATCCAGGGATTGTAGATAGTTGGCTGCCATGATATAGATCTCTCTCTGTCTGGAAACTCCCGCAAAGAAGACAATTTTCTCAGTATCTCCAGATTTCAGCAGTGCCCTCATAGCCTAGCAATGGAAAGGGGGACATCAGGGTAAAGGGGGGGAAAATACCATTGTGAATGCAAAACCAAGCTATGTGAAGATGGATTAGAAGCCTCTCTACTGTATGAAGTCTGTTCCAAAACACCCTTGTTTTAAAAAATCTGGGAAGATAACGGGCTCAGCCTCTTCAGCTTTTCTCCCTACATATCCAGGCTGACCTTTAACTTGTTTCCTGCTTGTGTGTATTTCTTGGTGGCCAGGTGGTAATTGCCTTGTCTCATGCAGCAATTGGCAATCTGCTCCAGCAGCTCTCTCCGGGACTCCTCGGAGAGGTCCTTGGAGTCCTTAGAGACCGTCATCTTCTCAGCCATCTCCTCTGTGATGGTCAGGTTCTGCTCCAGGCAGAGTTGCAGAGCTTCATGGTACTAATGGGAGTGAGAAAGCAATGAGATGTTCCAAACACTATGCTGATACTTCATATTGCTTGTGAAATTAGCTATATGAAGGCACAAACACTAGCAGCTGTGGATGCTCTATCAGAACATTGTTGTGCAGTCAAGCATCCTAACATCTATTCCCATTCAAGAACACCCTGTCTCATTTTGTTTGCTAAGAACAGATTTGTTCTTCCATGAAGACCATTGATTCTTACATGTTTTCTCAGAGGACACTAGTGTGGCACTAAAGATTCATGCATTTCAGCTCTTTGAACATGACACTTCCAGAGGCACACAAGTCAGATGACTTAGGCATGATTGAATATATGAAGGTTTTCAGCAAATAAATATAAGCATTTGAAAGATTTTGTTAAATATTTGCTACTTCCCATATAGGAATGAATTCTGAGGAGGACATAGAATAGCTTTTAGCCCAGAAAAAGGCTAACGTACCCTTGCAAAATGTGGAAGAAAGTAAGACACTGGAGCTCACTGAAGAGGAGTGGGTGTGGGACTGCTCTGGTAAGGCTGAGCTGCAGCACAGTAGAATGTGTGAAAATTTAGGAGAGGAATGAAGCACCTTATCTATGCTGGTGGTAAGACGAGGGACAGCATAGGGCATTTTTATTAATGATGTTCTAATTTCCCTGTCTCCAGATACGTTAGTTTTGAGAACAGGAGTTGTTCTTTTCCCAAGATTGCAAACTCTGCAGGTTTTAAGCCAGAAATCAGACTATAAGTCAGAAACTCATTTCTAATGTTGAGCCAGTGGGCTACCACCACTATGGCCTGAGAGAAAGCTTCAAAGTCTGTTTACCAGCAAAGATCAATGCATGTGTGTGCACACAGACACTTAAGCTCCTCTTTACCCATGTAGGAAGGGCCCAGTGAGGCTGGAGCTTACCTTTTTGGCCGTGAGCAGCAGCTCCATTGCCTTCTCGTACTGTGCGTGTTCGATGAAGAAATCGGAGCAGCGAGCCAGCAGGGCTGGGTCTGAGCTCTCATCCAGGTCTTCAGCAATCAGCTGTAGGGCCCCAAACTGCTGCGTGGCAAAGGCTAGCTCCAGTGCTTTGGAGAAATGTCCTGCCTGCAAAGTTAAGAATGCTGGAATACTTTAGAGACTAGAATAAGCACTGCAGATCACATTACAGGATACTCTAGAATGGATTAATAAAGCATGAATGACTAATAAACAGTACATATAGTAAAAACTAGTGTTCAAGGCCAGGTTGGATGGGGCTTGGAACAACCTGGTCTAGTGGAAGGTGCCCCAACCCATGGCAGGGGGTTGGAACTGGATGAGTTTTAAGGTCCCTTCTGACCCAAACCAGTCTGCAATTCTGTGATAACAGTTGATTAATGTTCCTCTGCTGCAGGAACTGCTTCAGTTTAAAGTTTGATATTTTTTACTAAAAAGGCATTTACCTTGTGGTATAACATGACAGCTCTGTCCATTTGCTCTCCTTTTTCCTCATAATAGCAGGCTGCCTCTATCATGTCTTCTGGAGAGCTCAGAAGAGCCAGGTTCATCAGCTGGTCATCTAAATAGTGCTCCTATTCAAAAGCAAAGATTTGGCTCTGGGAATGCTGCAAACATTTCATTAATTCTGTGTTCTGGCAAGCCTGCAGCTTTATGCTGTCACATAGAAGCCCATCAACCCTCTTCTGTGCAAAACCCA